CACAACTACTACTCCTACCACTACTACTCCTACTACTCCTACTCCTACTACTCCTACTACTCCTACTACTCCTACTACTACTACTACTACTACTACTACTGCTACTACGACGACGACTACGACTACGACAACGACTACTACGACTACGACGACGAGGAGCAGGAGGAGGACGACGACTACTATTACGACTACTACGACGACTACTACTACGACGACGACGACGAGTCATTGCCACTGCCACTGCAGCTGCGACTGCCAAAAACTACTCCTCCCACTACCAGTACCACTACCACCACTACGACGACTACTACGACCATGACTGTAGTACTACTACAACTGCTCAATTTCTGCTGCTGCTGCTGCTGCTGCTGTTGCTGCTCTAGGACAACTTATCACTACCAGAGGGCTACGGTGCTGTGTCTTTTGAAGTCATCCCCAATCCGTCACCATAACAGTGGCAAGGCATACTACGAATCATGGTCGAGCATGACGCTCGACCCAATTTTGAAAAAATGAACCCTAACATTACTAACAGTATTGCAATCAGCAACGATTGCGCTGATGATGTCAACAACACCAAAGGGATGATCATCTGTCACATCGTCCAAATGAGCATCACAGAATCTGTGCAGAACCTGCGAGAAAGCTTGAACACCACAAGCCTCTGCCAGATTCTTGCAGAACAATAATACAGCATCGCCCAAAAATTCCCCGACGAGGCAATGACCTGCCCCTCCTTGAGGAGCACCAGTTCGCCCGCCACGGCCGCCTGCCATCGGTTGAGCGTGGGCGACGGGGCCCGACGCCAGATGGCTTTTTGCGAAACTCGCTAACTCGCAACTATGTTTATTCATTCATCACATAGTGCGAACACGAGATAGGATTTCCTCACCAACTTGAGCTTCAATTAAGTTCGCAGACACGAAAGGTAACAAGTGTTCGACAAGAATCTTCACCAGCAGCAGCATCACTGTCGACCATCATTCTCACAATCACTGCTGCAATGTGTCTGGAGTTCAGCATTCTGAGGCATACTGACCTTCACCATCACCATCGTTATCGTAGTCGCCCATAGCGCCGTCGTGTTCATGCTCATGTAGTAATGCTGCTACTTCCATAACACTTTTGATAATGGGAGCCTTGAGGAAGGCTGCCGGGCCCTTGAGCTTCCGACCTGGCATCGGTGGGTGGAAGGCTCAGGGTTCAGAACTTGGGAACAGGGTGGACACCTTGCTTGTTTCAGACCATTAGTGCGAAGTCCCTCTATGACCCCGCCGGATCTACTCAGGCTGGGATAAGCCATGAGATTCTTACACTCCAAAAAAGATCTTTCGGTTTGGAAGCAGTTTGTTGGTAACCGCGAGACAAAGCCCCAAGGCTGATAAGACATTCAAGCTCACTGCAGTCCAGTCGTCTCTGCCGGACCTCGGATAGCGCGGAATACCGGACTACCGCCCCCCCCCCCCCCAAACCGATTTAGCTTTTAGTTGAGCTTGCGATCCCACTGCTTCTAGAATCTGCATGTACCTGAAAACTCTCGCGATGCAACAATTGCAATGGTTACCGATAGCATTTCGTAGGGCTCCATAATATAATGCCTTACTACAGTATAGCTTATACTGTGATGTACACCAAATCCACAGGCCTACTCATCTAATCATCAGAGAACCCTCATAATTCCCCGTGAAGCATCCCTTACAGACCCTGAAAGAGCCCATTATCGAACCCTTTACTGTAGTACAATTTTGAAGGGAACCCGATTATGAACCCTAAGAGTACTCTTTTAAGGGCCCTTTAGGTACCAAGGCCCCGCTTTTTTCGGCGGACCCGCCATGGCTCGCCTGGATGTCGGTCGCTCTTGGC